GGGAATTCACATGTTCGGGTGTTGATTATGTTTAAAAGTCATGATAGGATGTGTTCTATGTGATTCTTGCTTTTGATCCGTTAATTGTCTACGTGGTGTCGTCGTTCGTGTCTAAGCATGGTTTCGGGTTCCACGGAGGATCCCGGGACTTATATTTTGAAAAGGAGTCAGTGGGGGGTAGGTGGGGGTAGGGGGACCCGCCACCTACCCGCTGCCCGAAGTTACGCCGCAGGCAGCGGGCAACCGGCGGGCAGACGACTGCCCGCCGGACACCCGCTGCCCGGAGGTTCATTGTCGGCGGGTGGCCCTCCACCTGCCGACCACCCGCTGGATTTTTCCCACTTTGGGACTTTGGCTTCCCCGTTTGATGTTCCCCAACCCACGTGGTGTCCCAACGGACTCCGTTTGTCGTGCCTGAGTCTAGTTTGATGTTTTGGGTACCGTTTGTAGGATGAAAGAGGCTTGTGTATTGCATGCTAGTTGAATCGGTAACCCGTTGGCCTAGGAGGAAGATGTATGAACCCCTTAGGACTATTCTTAGTATGTAGATGACTACACATAAGTTTTATTTATACATTTTCCCCGTCCTGATGTGTTAATGTGGGTTGCATGTGCTTGCTACGTGATATTTGTGCATGATTCTTGGATGCGGTCAAATTGGTTACTCATGACCTACGGTTCATTATCCTGGCTGCGGTTAGTGACTCACTTCTAGGGCTGCGGTCTACCTCCTGGGCCTCGTGTGCTGTGGTCCACCGACTGGACGCGTCAGGCGGTGTGTAGGGCTACAAGCCACGAGGAAGGCCATAGTCCACCGAATGAGTTCGTCAGGCGGTGTGTAGGGCTATGGTCGGCTGCGATCCACCGAGTGTATGTGCCAGCGGTGTGTAGGGTCGTAGTCCCCAAAGATCATGGTCCACCGAATGAATCCATCGGGCGGTGTGTAGGGCTATGATCAGCTACGACCCACCGACTGAGCTCGTCAAGCGGTGTGTAGGGTCGCAGTCCCCAAAATAGGATCACAGTCCACCGACTGAATGCGTTAGCGGTGTGTAGGGCTGTGATCCGCCGTTGAAACTATCGACGGTCTATACAATTGGCTGCGGTCAATTCCGTCAGGCGGTGGTATGAGGTAGGGTGCGTGGGGCCGTGTTAGCACTATATGCGCTAACCCTCATGTTTGGGGCATGCGATTAGTCCCGTGGCGCCACCAAAGTATGCTTGTGTGACAAAGATGTAGATTGAATGATGATGTGAATGATATGAAAGTGAACTGTGACCTTAGATATGTGTATTTATGATGTTGCCTCTATATAATTGATTATCGATGTTGAATGTGTTTATCCCTATCTGTCGAGTCTAATCCTGATTTTAAATCTAGAGTCTCCTAAGTATATAACTTCCTGCTTCAAAATGGTTTTACTATATCATGTATATATATTTACCTATATTATATTTTAACGCATTAGAGTGGGTTACCGGCATCATTCGCTGAACAAATATATTTGGCTTTCAGGCACAGATGATTAGCTTCTGGAGAGCGCTAGAAGAACTCGGATTAGATAGTTAGTCTTTCCTTTCGGCCTACGTGCCTTGATAATGTAATGACAATATTTGAGGATAGTTAGTTAGAATAGCCTGTGCATCTGAGCTCTCCAGCTCAGATGTGGCATAACACCCCCGACTCTATGTTTAGAATGCTTCATTTGATATCTATTTAATAGAATTGCTTTCGTATTATAAGATCAAAAAGTTTTAAAATTTTGGGGTGTTACAGATGGTATCAGAGCCTAAGTTTGACCCTAGGACAAGACTCTTAAGACCAGACTTTAGAACATTAGGCTTAAACTCTAAGTATTTAGGAACATAGGACTCAGAAATCTTAGGACGCGCGGTGAGATTGTGAGTATAGCCGTCATCACGTAACCCTCCCTCACTCTACCCTTCGTTTAAATTAAAGAACTCCCCCCTTCGCTTATCGCATCAAGGTAAGGGTGCAACACTCTAACTCGACATTACTATAAACATTGGCTCAGTAGATCAGCAGCATGGAACCAAACAGGAGACAGTCAAGAACTCCAGAACCCACCGCACACGATCCCCTGGCTCAAACTTTACAACAACTAACACAAGTCGCCCAGACACTAAGCGACATAGCTCTCCACCACAACAGACCACCACTGCCTCCACCAAACGCCAACTCAGAAATCGCTCGACAAGTTTCAAATCATCGACCACCCACTTTCTCGAGAGAAGAAGGTCCCGCAATCCTCGAGGAATGGATTCGGACCTTCGACAAGATTCTGGGATTGGTAGAATGCCCAAAAGAACATCGTGTAGAGATAGCCTCATTCTACTTCGGACACGAGGCAGACCTTTGGTGGATCCACGAAGGGCCCACTTACAGACAAGAACCAGGGTTCAATTGGGAAAACCTAAAAACACGACTACGAGAACGATTCTACCCAGCACACGTACCAGACCTTTGGTGGATCCACGTCGTGGAATACCATAAACGGTTCATCGAACTGGCACGCTTCGCACCAGAATTGGTCCCCACAGAGGCTACCAAAATAGAAAGGTTTATATCAGGCCACAACTTCGAAGCCCGGAAGGCACTAGTAGTAAGCGGACCCCGGACCCTAAACAAGGCTTACTCCAGTGCTGCCAATCTCTATCGAATCCAACTACTACAACGTGGGGTTCAGCAACAGATTCGAAAAAGGAACACAGGAGGTGAGACACCACCTATGAAAAGAACGAGAAACAACGCTAACACTAGGCCAAGCAATCCAGCTGGCCAAAAGCCACCCCTGGGAAACAACGAAGCTAATACAAAGAGCTTCCCTTGCCAAAGATGCAACAAAGACCATAGAGGCAAAGACTGCATGGGAAACCCCTGGCGATGCTTCAACTGCGGAGGAGAAGGACACAAGTCCTTTTAGTGCACTCAACCCTCGAATTCGCGCCCTACAATCATGGGCCAACGCGGAGGCACAAACAATCAAGGGAATTACGGTGCTTCCGAAAAGGTGTTCGTCATGAGCCGCACCCAGGCCGAACTCGAGAACGAGGGCAACCTCGACGAAGAAAACATGGCCCCAGGAGACGAAGATCCCACAAACCAACCAGAAGAAAACCAAGGAGACGAGTTCTGTTTAGGATAACTAGTGAAACCCCTGTAACCACCCTCGTAGTAAAGTTACTTGTTTAGATTAGCTACTTCGGAATTATTATAAATAAAGAAGCAAAAGCAAAATAATTTAGCATAAAGAAAAAGGACTAGACTACCCCGAAAACCCGCATCAACAACAATAAGGACCGGTCAAATCTTCTACCACTAGAAGATAAAAGAAAGAAAGAGCCAAGGAGTGCACAACAAAGGAGACTAATGTCACCAATGGAGATTGAACTTTAAACCTCCCACTTGAAAACCCAAGTCCTAAACCACTATAATATGAGTCTTTCTTGAAACCTCAAGGGAACACTCCCTTCTTAAACCCCTACAAATCCCTAAAACCCACAAAACCCCCAAATCAAAAACCCTTCTTCTTCCTCCAAAACACACAACTCTCTCTCTCTCCCTCTCCTCCTCTCCATACCGCCGCCCACCACCCAAACGGCACCACCGACCGTCCCACCAAATGAATCGCCGCCAGCAACCGCCGTCCGCCGCCCAGGCCACCCCACTGCCGGAGACCCGCAGTCGAGGACCCGGAACCCACCCAGCTGCACCCCGTTGTCACGAAGCCTCCATCGTCGCCACTGCCGTACGTCACCCGGTCTCCTCCCGCCGTTAGCTACTCCGCCAGGACGTCGCACCACGCCATCGACACCGGAGACGACAGACCTCGCCGCCCCTCCAGTCGCCGAAAAATCTTGCCGCCGGAAAACCCGCTGGAAAACCCATCGGAAAATACCCCCCGAAGAATCCCAACAATGCCGAAAAAGCCCCTCAGAATCCGAACCCCGGAGTGGAGCAACGCCGACTACACCGTGATCGGAGGAAAATCCCTCGAACCCGACCAATTCTCCCCGAAGTTCGTCGATATGCTTAAGTTTCAAGGACTCTTGGATACATATCTCACCATCAAAGGGGATACATACCCCGAAATAGTGAAAGAATTCTATCACCATTTGGTAGCCGTCAAGCGGGGTGATAAATTGGAAATCACCGCTAAGGTCCGAGGCAAGGAGATCATACTCTCCGAAGGCCGCTTGGCCAAACTCTTGAGACTGACTACCACGGGTGTGTCAAACTACGACCGGAAGGCGTGGATCAGTACCCAAGACACAGGGTATAAGGATTACCTCGGGTACCTACTCGGAAAGGAAGAAGGCTTCACCTCGGCCAAACAGGAAATGGCTAACCGCTGAACAAAAGATACTAGTCATGATTGTAACGGATAGCTTGTTGCCTACGAACAACAAGAGTATGGATGTGGGAAGCCTGGAATGCACATTTTCCTACTTTCTAAAGCACAAGATCAAGTTCAACCTACAGGCCCTTATGCTAAAACACATGGAGTTTTGCAAGGCAAGCAACCGGCTTAGCCTGCCCTACGGGATGATCCTAAGTTGGATCATGGAGAAAAAAGGGGTGGACTTAAGCCACACAGAGGTCAAACCCGTAAGCGGGATGATTTCCAATGCCCAGAACCTCCGCCGCAACGACATCTACTACACCGAAGGGGGACAATACATCACCCTCGAGGAGGTTTGTCTAAAACCTGAGGAAGAACGTAGGGAATTGGTGGATCAACTAGACATCTCCAACAAGAAGCTAAGAAGAGCAATGCAAGAGTGTAAAGGGCAAGGAGAACAGGAGGAACAGGAAGAGGAAAGCGAGCCTAACCCACCAGCCCCCACGCAAGAAAGAGAAAATCCGGGAAACCAAGATCAAGAATCCATCAACGAGCGCATCCTCGCGCAGCTCACGCGGCAAAACCAAATCATGGACGAAGGGTTCTCATCCCTAATCCGCGCAGTGCGTGCACTAGATCAAAGGGTAGCAACAATCGAGGCCATGTTAGGCACGCATGGGGCATCTAGCTCAGGAGCAGGAAACCAAGGTAGACCCAAAACCCTTTCAAACACCACCGCACCAAAGTTCCACTCAACCCCATCAACAAACGACACGTGGAGCCACATCTCCTAACCAGGAGGCCAGAACACGTGACGTCCCAGGGGTGAAAGAATGGATCCACACACCGGCTTCGGGGACGAAGCCTCTTGTAAGAGGGGGAGAGTGTAACACTGTAACTGTAACACCCCGTGTTACGACCCCTAAGATCAATTAAATCGTTGATCAATTACCCAAAAGAAAGAATTAAATCGCAATAATTAATTAGGAAAGGCCCACCATAGTCCACGGGCCCTTATCCCTAAACCCAATCCTTAGTCCCAAAAGAAATAGAATTAGCAAGCCCATAATATTAGTTCCTAACTAGGACACCTAAATATATAAATAGGGGACTTAAGAGGCACCTAGAAACCCCCACAAGAATAACGCCCCACCTCCCCGAAGAGCTCCAAGAATCCCCCTAGAAGAAATCAAGAAAGCATGAAAGCTTAAGGAAAGACGCTTCATAGCCAAGGAATTAATTAAGGCTAAGAGGTAACCCATGTCTCAACAAAACCTATTTTCATAGCTATGATTTCCCCCGTAGGATTTCCCCGTATTATTGTGTATTGGTGACTTGTGATATTATTATTGATGATTGATGGGATAATTCCATGGGTGATCTTGATATTGGGAGATTCTTGATAATTATGGTGTTCTTGATGATTATGTGGAGTTCTTGATGATTATATGTCATTCTTGATTATTGTATGGCATTCTTAATGCTTATGTGTTATTTGTACCGAATCTTGTAATTAGAAGACGAACCGTATTCTTGTTGATATAAAAGTGATTAGAACCCTAGGTTGTATCGTATGATCTTATTCTTGGTTTATCGGGTGGGGAAATCGCATGTTTGGGTGTTGATTATATTTAGAAAAAGCATGATAGGTTATGTGCCGTTCGTTTCTTGTATTTGATTCGTTAATTGTCTACGTGTTGCCGTTAATTGCATTGTAAAGTGTCTAAGCATGGTTTCGTGTTCCACAACGGTTCCCGGGGCGTAAAGTGTGTGAAAAGAGTCAGTGGGGGGTAGGTGGGGGGTAGGGGACCCGCCACCTACCCACGGCCGTGAATTACCGCCCGGCAGCGGGTGGCCGGCGGGCGGGCAGCTGCCCGCCGGCGACCCGCTGCCCGGAACAGTAAAGTCCTGCGGGTGGCCCCCCACCCACCGGCTACTCGCTGGAAATTATCCCACCTTGGGATCCCGGCTTCCCCGTTTGATGTTCCCCCGTTCCCCGTGGTGTCCCAACGGACTCCGTTTATCGTGCCTATGTCTAGTTTGATATTTCGGGTACCGTTCGAAGGTTATGGGTCTATTATATTGCATGCTAGTAGAATCGGTATCCCGTTGACCTAGGTGGAAGAAGCATGAACCCCTTAGGACTATTCTTAGTATGTGAGGGATCACGCATAGGTTTGGTTATACGTTCTCTCTCCCTTCCCAACATGTTAATGTGGGTTGCATGTACTTGCTATATGTTATGTGTGTGTGTAACCCTGAGTTGGTTGAGATCAATCGAGCTATACGGGCAGTCGGATGGGCTGAGAACCATACCGGCTGTTAACCAGGCTGGTAGAGACCGGTCATGTATATAAATATTATATAGGACTAAGTTCCACTATACGGGCAGTCGGATGGGCTGAGAACCATACCGGCTGTTAACCAGGCTGGTAGAGACCGGTCAGGTATATAAATATTATATAGGACAAAGGTCCACTATACGGGCAGTTGAATGGGCTGAGAACCATCTCAACTATTAACCAGGCTGGTAAAGACCGGTCAGGTATATAAATATTATGTAGGACAAAGGTCCATCAGCCGGTTGCGATCGGCTCCTCCGTAATGTGAGACGGGGCAGGGTGCTGCGGGGCCGTGTCAGAGCTATATGCGCTGACCCTCATGTATGAGCATGCGATTGGTCCTGTGGCGCCAACAAAGTGTGCTACTTGATGAGATATGGATGAGTTGTGTTTATGAGTATATTGGGGGATTTGACTATGGGATTTATGCTAGGGATTGTGTATGTTGGGTTATGATTATTATTCGTGATCAGCTTTATCTGTCTTGCCTGTTGTGGATTGTATACGCTTGATTATAACTGTTGCTTGTGTCTAGCCTTATCTGTCGAGTCATTCCCGGTTTTAAAAGCTAGAGTCTCGTAGGATATATCTTCATGCTTCAAAATGGTTTTCGTATATCTATATATATCTCTATATGTATTGTATTTCAACGCGTTGGAGTGGGTTACCAGCATCTCTCGCTGAACAGATATATTTGGCTTTCAGGCACAGAAGCATAAGTCACTGGAGCGCGCTAGAACTTGGAGCGTAGAAGTAGATAGTTTCCCTTCCGGCCTGCGTGCCATGTTTATGCATTTACATTGCTAAGGATATTAGATAGTTAGCCTGTGCACCTGAGTTCTCTAGCTCAGGTGTGGCATAACACCCCGCACTCTTGTATTATGTTTTGGGATTTAATGAGATTTCACCTTTATTTTATAAGTTTGAAATATCTTGAAAATCTGGGGTGTTACAGTTGGTATCAGAGCCTAAGTTTGACCCTAGGAAAAGACTCTTAAAAACCGGAGTTTAGGACATTAGGCTCGAACTCCAGGTACCTAGGAGCATAGGACTCAGGAATCTTAGGACGCGCGATGAGATTGTGAAACCTACACATAACTTCCCTACACTTTACCCTTCCCCATTCTAAAACCCTTTCCCCCCCACTTATCACTTCACAAGAAGTGCGTCGAACTCTAACTTAACGTTCTTATAAACGCTGACCAGAAAGACGACAACATGGCACCAAACAGAAGGCAATCCAGAACTCCAGAGCCCGCCACAGACAACCCCTTGACCCAGACCCTACAGCAACTAACCCAAGTCGCACAGGCACTAAGTGACGCGGCCCTTCGCAACAACAGGCTCCCACCACCTCCGTCAAACACGAACTCGGACGCCGCCCGACAAGTCTCAAATCACCGATCACCCACGTTTTCGGGAGAAGAGGATCCCGCGGTCCTGGAAGAATGGATCCGGACTCTTGATAAGATTTTTGGAGTAGTAGAATGCCCAGAAGAACACCGCGTAGAGATAGCCTCGTTCTACTTCGGGCACGAGGCCGATCTCTGGTGGATCCACGAGGGGCCCACTTATCAACAAGAACCGGGGTTTAATTGGGAGAACCTCAAAACACGACTACGAGAGAGGTTCTACCCGACACACGTGAGAGCGTCCATGTACGAGGAGTTTCTCCATCTGAAACAAGGGACAGCAACCGTTATGGCATATCACAAACGATTCCTTGAGCTAGCACGCTTCGCACCCGAACTCGTCCCCACCGAGGTAACCAAAATAGAGAGATTCGTATCGGGCCTCAACTTTGAAGCCCGAAAAGCACTAGTGGTAAGCAGACCCCGGACTCTCAACGAGGCTTACTCCAGTGCCGCCAATCTCTACCGAATCCAACTACTCCAACGCGGGGTTCAGGAGCAAATACGGAAGAGGAACCCCGGAGGAGGGGCGCCACCAGTAAAAAGAACAAGGAGCGACACCAACACGAGGCCCGGCAACCCGACCAACCAAAGGCCACCGCGGGAAAACAACGACGCCAGCGCCAGGGGCTTCCCTTGCCCGAAATGCGACAAGAGCCATAGAGGCAAGGATTGCATGGGCAAACCCTTGCGATGCTTCAACTGCGGAGAAGAATGACACAAGGCCTTCCTTTGCACCCAACCCCAAAGGCCGCGCACTACCACCATGGGACAACATGGGGGCACCACCCATCAAGGAAACTACGGCACTCCCGGAAAAATATTCGTCATGAGCCGCACTCAAGCCAACCTCGGGAACGAGGGCAACCTCGAGGAAGGGAACCAAGGCCCCGAAGACGAGGACCACGCAAATCCCGTGGGAGAAAGCCAAGAAAATGAATTCTGCCTAGGATAGGTTGGCAATTTCTTGTAATCACCTTCGTGGTAGAGTTACTTACTTAGCTTAATTACTTGGAAGTATTATAAATAAAAGATTAGCTCATAATTCGGCTCTACTTGCAAACTAGCCAAACCTCACCACTAGAAACCGGAATAAGGAAAAAGACAAAAGCCCCATCATCAAAGAACCTAGTGTTGCCAATGAGAATTGAACTCTAGACCTCCTACTTACAAGTCCAAGCCCCTAACCACTAAGCCATGAGTGTTTTTTGAAAACCTTAAGGGAATACTCCCTTGTTAAACCCCTCCAAATCCCTAAAACCCACAAAACCCCCAAATCAAAAACCCTTCTTCTTCTTCCTCCCCTCCTTCTTCCCCACTCTTCCCCTTCTCCTTCTCGCACACCTCACCGCCCCACCCCAAAGAAACCAACAACCACCCATCGTCACCGCCGATCGACCGCCGCCGCCGGCCGAACACCACCCGCCAACGTCACACCGCCGTGCCGCCGTCCCAGCCAGCCACAACCCGCCACCCGGTGGCTCCCCGGCGACGACCCGCTGCTCCTCCACCCGAACGACGCCACCCCACCATCTCACCCCCACCGCACCAACGCCGAACCTCCACAGCACCGCCGCCCCCTCGAAAACAGGAAACCACGCCACCTAGAAGCTCGCCGGAAGAACGCGCCGGAGCGCCGTTCACCTCGCCGGAAAAACACGCCGGAGCCCCGCCGCCGCCTCGCCGGAAAATCGCCGGAAAACGTCGCCATCAACCGAAGCACCACGATGCCAAAGAAACCCCTCGGAACCCGCACCCCGGAGTGGAGCAATGCCGATTACACCGTGATCGGAGGTAAAGCTCTTGAACCCGACCAATTCTCTCCGGAATTGGTTGATATGCTCAAACATCAAGGGCTTTTAGATACGTATCTCACCATCAAAGGGGATACGTACCCCGAATTGGTGAAGGAGTTCTATCAACACCTTGTAGCCACCAAACGGGGTGACAAGGTAGAAATCACCACCAAGGTCCGTGGCAAGGAAATAGTGCTTTCCGAAGGCCGTTTGGCCAAGCTCTTGAAATTGACCACCACGGGTGTGTCTGACTATGACCGAAAGGGGTGGATTGATACCCAAACCACGGGGTACAAGGACTACCTCGGGTACCTACTCGGAAAGGAAGACGGGTTCACCTCGGCCACTCGACCAAACCGAAAGTGGCTATCGACGGAGCAAAAGATATTGGTTATGATTGTAACCGATAGCCTCTTGCCCACCAATAATAAGAGCAATGACGTAGGGAGCTTAGAGTGCACCTTTGCCTACCTGCTGAAACATAAAATCAAGTTCAACCTGCCGGCACTCATGCTAAAACACATGGAGTTTTGCAAGACAAACAACCGTCTTAGCTTACCCTACGGGATGATCCTAAGCTGGATCATGGAGAAAAAGGGGGTAGACCTAAGCCACACCGAGGTCAAGACCGCAAATGGCATGGTCTTTAACGCCCAGAACCTACGCCGCAATGACATCTACTACACCGAGGGAGGACATTACCTCACCCTCGAGGAAATCTGCCAAAAACCCGACGATGAGCGAAGAGAATTGGTCGACCGACTGGACATCTCCAACAAAAAGCTCAAACGGGAAATGCAAGATTGCGGAGTTCTGGAGGGAAATGAGGACCAGGAAGAGGACGACGAGCCCAACCCCACAGCGCAACCACGATCGGGAGGAAATCCAAGGGAGCAAAACGAGGGATCAATCAATGAACGCATACTCGCACAGCTCAACCGGCAAAACCAAATCATGGAGGAAGGATTCTCATCCCTGATCCGTACGACACGCGCACTAGATCAGAGGGTGGCAGCAATCGAGGCCACCTTGGGCACTCGCGGGGCATCCAGCTCAGGAGCAGGAGACCGAGGTAGACCTCAAACCCTTCCATCACAACACCACCAGAAATCCAGTCTACCCCAGCTAAGGCAAAATGTGGGGCCACATTCCTAACTAGGAGGCCAAGATACAGGATGCCTGGGGGGGCGAAAGAGTGGATTAACACACCGGGCTTCGAGGACGAAGCCCCTCATAAGGGGGGGAGAGTGTAACACCCCGTGTTACGACCCCTAAGATCAATTAAATCGTTGATCAATTACCCAAAAGAAAGAATTAAATCGCAATAATTAATTAGGAAAGGCCCACCATAGTCCACGGGCCCTTATCCCTAAACCCAATCCTTAGTCCCAAAAGAAATAGAATTAGCAAGCCCATAATATTAGTTCCTAACTAGGACACCTAAATATATAAATAGGGGACTTAAGAGGCACCTAGAAACCCCCACAAGAATAACGCCCCACCTCCCCGAAGAGCTCCAAGAATCCCCCTAGAAGAAATCAAGAAAGCATGAAAGCTTAAGGAAAGACCCTTCATAGCCAAGGAATTAATTAAGGCTAAGAGGTAACCCATGTCTCAACAAAACCTATTTTCATAGCTATGATTTCCCCCGTAGGATTTCCCCGTATTATTGTGTATTGGTGACTTGTGATATTATTATTGATGATTGATGGGATAATTCCATGGGTGATCTTGATATTGGGAGATTCTTGATAATTATGGTGTTCTTGATGATTATGTGGAGTTCTTGATGATTATATGTCGTTCTTGATTATTGTATGGCATTCTTAATGCTTATGTGTTATTTGTACCGAATCTTGTAATTAGAAGACGAACCGTATTCTTGTTGATATAAAAGTGATTAGAACCCTAGGTTGTATCGTATGATCTTATTCTTGGTTTATCGGGTGGGGAAATCGCATGTTTGGGTGTTGATTATATTTAGAAAAAGCATGATAGGTTATGTGCCGTTCGTTTCTTGTATTTGATTCGTTAATTGTCTACGTGTTGCCGTTAATTGCATTGTAAAGTGTCTAAGCATGGTTTCGGGTTCCACAACGGTTCCCGGGGCGTAAAGTGTGTGAAAAGAGTCAGTGGGGGGTAGGGGACCCGCCACCTACCCACGGCTGTGAATTACCGCCCGGCAGCGGGTGGCCGGCGGGCGTCAGCTGCTCGCCGGCGACCCGCTGCCCGGAACAGTAAAGTCCGGCGGGCAGCCGGCGGGTGGCCCCCCACCCACCGGCTACCCGCTGGAAATTATCCCACCTTGGGATCCCGGCTTCCCCGTTTGATGTTCCCCCATTCCCCGTGGTATCCCAACGGACTCCGTTTATCGTGCCTATGTCTAGTTTGATATTTCGGGTACCGTTCGTAGGTTATGGGTTTATTATATTGCATGCTAGTTGAATCGGTATCCCGTTGACCTAGGTGGAAGAAGCATGAACCCCTTAGGACTATTCTTAGTATGTGAGGGATCACGCATAGGTTTGGTTATACGTTTTCTCCCACTTCCCAACATGTTAATGTGGGTTGCATGTACTTGCTATATGTTATGTGTGTGTGTAACCCCGAGTTGGTTGAGATCAGTCGGGCTATACGGGCAGTCGGATGGGCTGAGAACCATACTGGCTGTTAACCAGGCTGGTAGAGACCGGTCAGGTATATAAATATTATATAGGACTAAGTTCCACTATACGGGCAGTCAGATGAGCTGAGAACCATACCGGCTGTTAACCAGGCTGGTAGAGACCGGTCAGGTATATAAATATTATATAGGACAAAGGTCCACTATACGGGCAGTTGAATGGGCTGAGAACCATCTCAACTGTTAACCAGGCTGGTAAAGACCAGTCAGGTATATAAATATTATGTAGGACAAAGGTCCATCAGCCGGTTGCGATCGGCTCCTCCGTAATGTGAGACGGGGCAGGGTGCTGCGGGGCCGTGTCAGAGCTATATGCGCTGACCCTCATGTATGGGCATGCGATTGGTCCTGTGGCGCCAACAAAGTGTGCTACTTGATGAGATATGGATGAGTTGTGTTTATGAGTATATTGGGGGATTTGACTATGGGATTTATGCTAGGGATTGTGTATGTTGGGTTATGATTATTATTCGTGATCAGCTTTATCTGTCTTGCCTGTTGTGGATTGTATACGCTTGATTATAATTGTTGCTTGTGTCTAGCCTTATCTGTCGAGTCATTCCCGGTTTTAAAAGCTAGAGTCTCGTAGGATATATCTTCATGCTTCAAAATGGTTTTCGTATATCTATATATATCTCTATATGTATTGTATTTCAACGCGTTGGAGTGGGTTACCAGCATCTCTCGCTGAACAGATATATTTGGCTTTCAGGCACAGAAGCATAAGTCACTGGAGCGCGCTAGAACTTGGAGCGTAGAAGTAGATAGTTTCCCTTCCGGCCTGCGTGCCATGTTTATGCATTTACATTGCTAAGGATATTAGATAGTTAGCCTGTGCACCTGAGTTCTCTAGCTCAGGTGTGGCATAACACCCCGCACTCTTGTATTATGTTTTGGGATTTAATGAGATTTCACCTTTATTTTATAAGTTTTAAATATCTTGAAAATCTGGGGTGTTACAGTAACACCCCCCAAAAACAAGACTACTTAAAACGAGTCTTAACACCTGCAGATCAAGCACAAAACTAGCACAGCGGAAGATAAAGAGATAACTGGATAAAAGGAATCCAAAACAGGGTGTTATGCCACGTATACCACACTAGGTACACGCTACGGCGACAATCTGCAAGTGTAACACTATCCTAAAAACAACCAAACTATAACAGTCTAAAGACATTAGCACACAGGCCTCAACAACACTGTCTAAAGATACAGGTGCTAAGCTACCGGCTCTAGACACCGCGCTCGACTACGCATCACCTGAAAGATACAAAGATAAACATCGGGGCTACGCCCGGTCACCGAAAGATGCTAGTAACCCACCAATACCATTAAGTATCATAAATAGGTAGATATATAATAAGAAAACCATTTTCGAAACGGAATACATATATATAAGTCAAAAGCCAAAATCAAAAGACAACACAAGACTCACCACTCACAAGGATAAAACCGGGAACACATCCCAAACCACAAAGGTTAACCACACACAAGGATAAAGACTCACCCAACGGCAACACATGCCAAAACACCACACCACAAGCCTCCGTGACTACACACGTCATGAGAGAAGAGAACTCACCACCACAACGGCTTCACAAGCCCTCGTGACATCACCCATCACGAGTTGATATGCCTTCCT